TTCTTACTTTCTAAGTCAAAGGTTTGACTTTTTACCTTGCATTTGTATTGCTTGTTTCTGTTTCGTCATAGTATGAAGTACATTAGTTCTAGTTTAAAATTTAGAGTTTGTATCTTATAACTGTTTTCCATAACAGGTAATGGTTTTGACATTTTATCTTAAGTCAGCATTTTGACTCAAAATTTGGTCTTTTTATTCTATTTTCTTATTTCATGGTCTTTTGGAAGGTAATCCTATATCCAGATGTATTCTAATAATCTTTTCTTATTATCTCATAATATTGACTTCAAAAGTCAAAAGTGTAATTGTCTAAATGCCAAACTTTATTTGTTTTATTTTTCATTTGGCAGAAACTGGTTTCCATATCACATGATGTAACCGATGAGGAATGCAATTGTTGAACATGCGGGGCTTTTTTTTTTTTTCTCTGCAGGTACTTTCACCATCGCAGGTTATTCCACTACGTTCTACAGAAAGACTTTGCCGTCATGTCGTGTTTCGTCTTCGTCTCTGCTCAGCGTGAACTCTGGGAAGTCCCTTGAACTCTGTCGGCATTCAGCTCCTCCTTCCCTCCCAGGAAAACCAACATTCAGAGAGGAAGAGCGGCTGAGAAAAGAGAAAAAAGGAAGCAGACGGAGGAAAGAAAAAACACTAAAGCGAAGTGAAGGCAGCAGACGAGGCAGAGGCCCGAACGTCGGTGTGTTTTCCTTTGACTCAGCCGTGATCCTGCTGAGCTCCGGCTCTGACCAGGAGATAATTGCAGGGGGATCGAGGCCGAGGCAGCGATGATATTAAAGCCTCGGACGATGAAAACTCGGCACCCAAAAGTATTTACTCAGAAAACATCTCAGAGAGGCAGATCTGTTGGTGCGAACTACCGCAGAGATTCAGTCTGAGTCGACGCCACAGATATGAGCCCTGAGATCCAACATGTGAGTGATGCAGCGATGTATACAAACAAAACACAGATTTTGTGGTCGCCGGCTCACCCTGGATGACGTATGTGTGGCGCTGCTGGACGCTGCTGCAGCTCCCCGCTGAAACCTCTGAAGAAAAGCCTCCGTCGACCTGAAATAAATGCACACAAAACCCAAATCATGAAGCAGGAGGCATGATTCAGGCCTAACAAGGTCGACCAAGTTTGTTTGTCTGCAGAGCGTCTGATCTGTTCCTAAATATCTTCATTGTCTTGTTTTGTTTCTCTTGAGACAAAGCCAGAGATGCTACTCGACAAGCGATTTTCTCCTCCGAGTCGGCGACGTATCGTTTTCCGAAAACACCACGGCTGTCGGGGTAATTGATTTAAAGTGGCCTCACAAACCGTACAAAAGCCTCGTACGTACAGTAGACAGTCGGAGTCGTTATTGTGTCTACGTCTATTACAATGAAACAGTCTGAACCCTTTAAAGGGCTCCTCCACTGGTTTTTAAATGTCAGCGTGATCGCGATGAAGAGTTTGAGCGGGTTTCTCAGCTTTGTAGTTTGTTTTTTTAAAGATGTATTTGGTCTTTTTTATCTCTATTTTAACGTCTTTTTTTCTTGCATACTCCATCAACACTTTGGACAGTTAATCTTATAATTCTGATACGTTCTCATAATCTTTTCTTGGTAAGTCAAACTTTGTTTATTCGGCTTTGTTTTATTTTTTTAAGCAATAGTATTGAATAGGTAGATCTAAACTTGTATGACATAAAATTTGACTTTGTTCTCATAAATCTTTACTTTGAAATCTAAAGATGTGACTTTTTTTTTTTTTTTTTTGCATTTTCTGACAGTTTTAAACAATTTTGACATTATACCACAATCCTCTCTCATGTGCATGTTTCTCAGCTTTGAAGTGCTTTTTAAAAATGTTTTTCCCTTAATTATTTGCTATTTTACCTAGAGTCTAACATCTTTGTCTGTTTTTTTTTTGTAAGAATTAAAAAAAAAAAAAAAAAAAAATCATACCTAACTTTGTTTTGTTTTTTTGTTTGTTTTTTTAAATCTTTTTTTTTTTTTTTTTGCCTTTTTATTGCATAATTTAGATTTTTAAATTTTTTTCTGGACCACAATATCAATTTGGTTAGTTAAAGTTTTAACTCGTAATCTTGTAATTTGACTCATAATTCTTACTAAATCAAAGCTGTTTACTTTTTGTCACATAATTGTGTCCCGTCAGTCAAAATTCAGTCTTACTTATAACTTTGACTTTTTTAATCTCATATGGATTTGGTTAGAATTTATACTGTTCATTTACTAAGTCAACAGTTTTTCAAATTTTATCTTGCATTTGTTTATCTTTGTTTTGTTTTGTTTTTTTTAATAACATAGTATTCAATAGGTTAATTTCAACTTTGGCATGTAGTTTTAAAATCTGACTTTTCATCTTATTATTCTTTATTTGCTAAGTCAAAGTTTTGACAATTTATTGCTGTTATTTTTCTTTTTTTCTCTATTTTTACCATTCTTATCTTTTTTTGCATTCTTCATCATCATTTTGAACAGTTAAACAGTTATAATCATGATACATTCTTATAATCTAGTAAGTCAACCGCCTGACTTATTATTTCACAGTATTTATTTGGTACAAATGTAAAAATCTTGGTAAATTCAAACTTTAACATGTAATTTTAAAATTTGATTTTTTTAATCTCACAATTCTTTACTTACAAAGATTTAACATTTGATTTTGCACTTTTTGGACTTTGTATTGTCTAATTTTGACGCTTACCGTCGTCCTCTCCCATGGGCGGTTATAATGCACTTTTAATGGAAAGTCTGCGTTGAAGACGAGCGGTGTGGCGTCAGAGAAGACGTGGGCATTTCCCAGGTGGTAAAAACCAGTCATCCTGCTCACTGTGATGGTTTTTTGAGTTTTCCTCTCGTGCCTACAGCAGGTTAACATGCGGCTTCGATCCCCTCAGGATGAACTGTAATTAACTCGCTGGTCCCTGACTCATCTGCTGCAATCATCAGGCCAGAATTAAATTTTGTGCACGACTGTGGTTTAGAACTAAATACCTAACAACTAATGGCATTCCTATTGGCCTTAGTGGTTTCTTGTTTTTACTACTAATCATCAAATGTGAGCATGCTCACACCGGTTATAATTAACCTTCTGAACCCCAAGCAGTTTTTGGGCGTTTTATTTATTTACGCCTGTCACATTTTTCCTCACTGTGGGCTCATTCTGCACTGCAATATAAAGTCTT